CTGTTGGATACCCCGACATGGACATTGAAGGTCCTCGTTCGCAACGAGTTGCTGCGATCTGCTGCGATTCTATCTCACGCCACTCTCATAGCCCGAGACCAAGTCCGTCAGCTCTTCAATGAGATATCATACTACATCAAATTTATCATCAGGTCTAACGCCATTGTACGATATACTTCGGGGCTTGTCACTGATCATACTACCCTCAAGGCCGCTTCTAATGGAATCAAACTGATCCGGATCTGAAGAGTCTGTCCTCGTCTGCACGCCTATCCGCAAAGTGTTAAGTGGATACGAAGCCGCCGTGAGGACGTCTTCGGGGCTTCGGACCGTACCGGGCCTTACCGCCCATTCATGCGTTGTCTGCTGGAACGTCTCGATAGCGACGTCGAGTGTTGATCGCAAGCACACGAGAGTGATGATCAACGTAGGATAGATGGCCTGCCAGTAAATGTGGTTAGGCACAAGATCAGGGGAAGGAATCGGCATCATACCGTCAGCTGCGAGAGGATATCTATGACAGGGTAGATGCCGTTGGTCCCACACGCGAAAGTGATAATAGCCACAAACTATTTGCTTCGCTTGAACAGACTCCCGAATGTTTGACAAGATAAAGCAACGTACCCACGTACAAGCATAGAAGACACCAGACTCGATTAGAATGGCGAGGATGCCATTTTGCCTTCGGAATCTCGTCATGAGCGTCTCCCCCGTAATAGAACGGATAAACTTGTTATGAGACCTTGACACGGACGTGAACTAGGAGAAGAAATTGGGGAGGTCAGAAGCATACCATGTACGGTAGGCAACGAGTGACGTCGCCCATAGATTTGTTGTCAGCGTCGAGCTGATGAACGCGATGGCCCAAGTGCTCAGTGTGGGGTTATCAAAGACGGTGATCCCCGGAGGAGCCATCGTGTATGCTCGAATTATCCCAACAGCAGCAGCTTCACGTTGGTTCATCAGGGCGACATGTGAGCGAAGAGTGAAGCTTGTGCTCACCAAGTGTTCCCGTGAGAAGGGTACCAGAAGTAAATATAACCCACCATTTCCGACCCCACAATATCCAGGCCCTCCATATGACGATTCCATCCCCGATGATTATCTACGGACGGTTTCAATGATGTCTGATAAGATAGCAGAGTGAACCGTACATTGACTGCTTCCAAAGAGATTTGAGAATATATGTTCGGCGACGCATTATCTTCCCAGACAGTTGGATCATCTGCGGCGTGTCGAAAGAGAAACGCATGATAGTTTTGTTCGAAGCTGATCGCCATATGGGAGGTCGCTACTATCCACATTACGATATTCAGCACGGTCATCACGATGATTACTGTGGTTCTTTTTCTTTTGAACCTATCGACGGACTTGTCAACATAAGCGCAAAATACGTGTACGGAACCCACAGTAGTAGATACATCGACACTAGCCAGAGAGCGGTGTACATTCCTGCCAGATGTTCTTTTATGAAGACATCTCGTGCGGATACGATTGGCAAAGACGTACCGTGCAAGAAGATTTCGCACCCGAGAGCGATAAAATACGCTTCTGCAAGTGATATTGACATCTGGACAAGCTATCGGTGGACGACGCGGAAGCAGGGGCTGCTTGCCAATGTTGCCACAGCGGAAGCTTGTACAGGCATTTTAAAGCGGATCCCTTGTTCGTGACAGAGGCACTGGCAGGTATGGCAGGTGGAATTGAATGAATTGAACGCCGGATCTGGAAATAGGAAGACTGGACTGCGACCAGCAGCGTAATTCATGATGAATGAACGACGCCAAATGATGGGTCCTACATACCTCGGTATCCGAAGTTGATGTACTCTGAGGTTCGTATGCCTTTTCAAAATTTGCGTTCCAGGATATGCCAGTTCGCCTCTCAAAGATGGATCCGGAGGATAGAGTCAGAGGCGCCGACCCATAGTATCGGAGCACTGCAATCGCGAACTTTTAACGGAGATGAAGACTGCCCGGGGCCGTGTTATTTTCCATGGTTCGCGAAATTCTGATCTTCTGATCTTCCGTGCATATTTATGTCATAGCCAAAGCCCATGTCTGCCTACAGGCTCTGATACATAAGCCAAAAAGATTGTCTGCCCCCAACTGTTTTTCGTGGTTTCGTTAGCTTTCGATGATCTGATAAGTGTTATGCATTTTGTCCTACCTTCAATGAACGCACCGCAACGAGAGAGGAGACGCCGACAATGATTGATTAGCAGCCAAACAAATATCCAACCTACCTAAGTTGCCACGAAGCAATTAAAGAATGGGGGCAGTAAAAGACCGATGGATCTACCGGTACCTCTTTCATGCTAAAAACGACGTGTAGTGTAGTTCAGGGAATGGCTTGAATCAAGAAGTTGTTGAAAGGCGCCGCGAGGTCTGGGCTGACATTGGGGCTCCGACATGCGGTGCATTCGGCATGTCTGGGACTGGGTAATAACTCTGGTTTAGCGCACTTGAGTATGTTTCCGGTTCGTCTCCGTACTACCATTTGTCGTTCATTCTCCACCATCACTGCCCTCGAATCTGCATCTGTCTACCGCACTGTACGCGTAAGCAATGTTCCAGAGGGATACAATGTCAGCACTGTCGTCGATACCCTCAAGGCCAACCCAGTGCAGGCGATAATACCTTCAAAGGACCATATGCTCGTTCAATTTTTGGACGAAGATATGGCCAGGCGGTGTATCTACCACAGTAATGAAACTTACAAGCTATCTATCGATGTGCCTTCACCAGCTGTGACATCCCGTGATGTTGCTCTACTTGGGATGTACAACCTGTCTCGTACCCTCGTCCTGAAGAACTTTCCATCGGACTTGGACGAGATAAAATTAGCCGAAATTCTATCCCAGCGAGGGGGGATCGATACCTGGAGATTCTACTCCTCAGAAAATGGTGCCGTAGCTCATTTCTTGGATACACACAGCGCGTTCGAGGTGCGTCAACTATTTCTTGTCTACCATGTGGATCCTAATTGCCCGTATATAGGCACGCACAGAATGCCAAAAGGCAGGGATGTCTGCCACATTTCCCCATACGAGAGGCGACTATCTCTTTCCTGAATGGTTCCCTGAAGAAGAGGACGGCCGGGCCTTTGTGGAGACCCGCGTGGAGATTTCTGGTATCAAAGACTTCCCTACTCTCCTTGTTGTGCGGGATTGGATATCCAAGTTTGAGCGATCCAGCCCTGCTTGTTTGATTTTTACCAGTTTTTTCAAGCTACGAAAAGTGAGCGCCGCGGTGATTTCTGTGTATCACTTTTTTCATCTTCGTGCTAGATGCTCACGATACAGTTCGCGACGACGGAATTGGCACGCAAATTTGTCAAGGATTTTGGCATGGATGCGCAAGGTCAAAGTATGCAGCTGTCATTAGCGAAGATTCGGGATCCACTCTCTCGTGGAATGATCACCGCTGCCGGTCTGGGCGCGCAGCGAACAGTGTGCCTGAAATTCTCTAATAAAGGACCAGACTTGAGGAGAAAGGAAGAATATTTTTACTTTTTCTGTCAGTTTGGTGCCGTCTCTGGGTCATTCAGGTGCGGTTACCGCTTCTTCGTTTAACTCCTCCCTACTCAAATCACTTGCAAATAACTACCAGAGATGAGCGATACCACGAATGCAGTAAACCACTGTTCATCCCATTCGACAGCTTACAGGGCGCCCTCCGTTGTGTGCTGAGCATGTCACAGTTCAAAGCCGATGTGCTTGACCATTTTCCCGAGCTGAAGGGTGCTGCTATAACCTTTGCGGGCACTAGCCACTTGACACCGACTCCAGTGCCAGAATAGAAACTCGTGCAGATGACACAGCTCGTCGTATCGAACAGTTTGCTCTCCCGCGGCTTCGATTTCTTCGGACATGCTGATATCTGGAAGAATGGCGGAGTTGTTGTAGTCCTACATCGGTTACGCTTAGCAGCAGGTTCGATTTGATCAAGGGCTTTAGCTGGCGGTACATCACAGGTACTCCAGTTTGGATCAATACGTACACCAATTGAAAAATTCTTACTATTTTGGAAGGCTACCGGAGGAGAAAGATTTCTTGCTCAACCATGTCGACGTTTATGAAGATTCTCATGTCGTAGCGTTATCAATATCACGGGCCGATCGTACGGAATCCACATCTTTTCCCATGCCATCCTTCCTTCCGCGGTCTCAATACATACATAAAACCCGTGTCCATTCATTTGGTTCTAAGCCCATCTAGCTCAACAGGTTAGAGCGTCAGAGACATAACCTGAGGTTCTATTGTGTAGGTGTGCTCGGTTTAACGTTTATCGAAGGTCGAGCGCCCCCACATCATAGGAGCTTATGCTTCTGAAGATGTGAGTTCGAAACTCACGATGAGCAGTAACTTCAGTTTTGTTGGGTCGTTTTTTATCAGCAGTTGAGTGGTCACTGAGGACTCTTCTCAAAATTCATGTTTGTTTTTTGGTTGGAGAGCTAAGAACCTCTAAGCTCAAGTGCAACTTTTGATCAATGATTTAATTAATGCTCCCTTTCAATGGACATCAGTGACTTCTTCTATCAAGACAACTTGGCCCTCCGGGAGCGCTGCGTATCACGTACGAGGTGTGGTGGGACTGTGTCCGCTACTTCTCGCGCCGGGAGAATTACATCAGTGATGATCGATGGTTCATCACCCGCGTGCTAAAGTACAGTGACTCTAAACTGATGCTGGTCTTTCTCTCTTCGGCTGTCCGTTACCATACGTATTATGTTATTCAGCCTTTTGAAGGCTGTCAATCGGCATACGGATGATGCGCCAACACGCTTTCTATCTTTGACGACAGAAATACCACGAAGATGCATATGATGCTTCTAGCTCTTAAAGAGCGATGGCAGCAGCTACGGACCTCGTGCAAGTGACCGCTTTCCAGCGGTCGGCCCTTTGATGGCACTGTGTTGCTTCGTCATGCGGGTTACATCTTTTCCCATGCTATCTGGCTTCTTCCATACATAAAGCTTGTCCCTTGATATCATTCAATGCCCATCTAGCTCAATGGGATAGAGCATCAGAGATATAGAAAGATAATATATCATGTGAAGAACAGTCAACTGTTCTTCACATGATGTGCTGTCCGCTTCTTCTGACGATGTGAGTTCGAGTCTCACGATGGGCGTGGGTTGTGATGTTTTTCGACATTTATCTTTATATACAGTATGTGAAGAGACCGGTAGGACCGGGTAGGTATACCGTATCATCTTCAGACCATCTTCTATCTCCTGTTGAGACTTAGAATGCCTTGTGCACCAGACATCTACCATTCAATGATAACTTCTCGAGGGCAGGGATTTTGCTATGCATGCTATCAACATGCCATTAACCGAGCTTACTTCTCCGGGAGAGGTGAGCACACTGTAAGCACCGTGTTCAGGATCCAAATATATACTATCGCCTGATGAGTGTTCGAATGTTCATCAACCGCGACTCGTACTTGTATGGCTAGTTGCATTCCTAACAACCTCAGGTATTATACACACATAAGTCGTTTCTCGTCCACTATTTACCAGATTTCGCAGATGTATGATGTTCGCATTGGTTTCAGTTTCCAGCTTTCACAAGTCGGGTCCTCAAAATGATACTAGCAAACTATACCATTAAAGTACTGATCACCCCTACGCACAACCACTTTAGCCACGGGGTTTGCCGTGAGCAAGCGCCGCCGCGTCTCTGTACCGGACTACAGGTAGCGGTTTCGAAATATAGAATCAAAAAGACAAGTCGCGTTCTACACGCGATGGCCGTCCAATACGAGCGGCCCGAGGTAGGGCCGGTCCATCAAGCCAACATCCATTAGTTTCGAGTTGTTTCCGTTATCTGTTCGCCAGTTTCCCTGATCTCATCTTTTTACCTTCTCCCGCATGCCGTACGAGGATTTCTTTGCCAGACCACCGTCGGTGTTTTTATGCCCAGGTGCCATCGCCGTACAGTGTAGGGGCTGTTCCTCGGTTGCCAGTGTATTGCATTAAGTACTACCCACTACAAGTCCGTAACCTGATAGTGAATACCCTGCAGAAACGTCCTCCAGGAACTTACACGCAAGCATACAGTCTGGCCCAAAGGCCCACGTTCCAAACTAGTTGCCGGTTGAATGCGGTGCCTACCGGTGTGATTCATCTGCTTGCTAATACGCCTTCAAAAGGAATAGGAAAAACAAAGAGAATCTGCCCACCTTGCAGCTGAATATCCGGTATCAAATAGTTAACAGTAAGCTACACTTCTTGTCTCCGGTTACAAAGGGAACATAAACATAGCACCCCCGGGCTGGACCAGTATGGTATTCGTTTCAAATTCCACCAGACAGTCCGATAACAGTGTTGGAGTTACAGCCTTAAATAAGCTCAGCTTAGTACCTGGGCCTGAAGGACAACACTGTCCGGGAGTCCTGTGTATTACCTTGGGCGCGCTCTTCTCGCAGGGCGTGAACCAGCATGTTCGGAGGCTCATTTGCATTCCCTTCTGCTTAATCAGTGGCACGAGGGTGCAGAGATAACGAAATGTCGGGATCTAAACCTTCTAGATACAAACGGGACTGAGTCTGGCCTTTTCTAGTGCCCACTGAAGAATAGTGCTTATTCTTGGTTATCTGTGTTGTACTCGATACGCGCCCGCACGTGGTACCGAAGTCCTTATAATGTATAAGATCATAGTGATTGTTGCTACGCGGAAGAGCATTCATTCGCTGTTTTTTCGGACATCACTGCTAAGGTCACTTTCTCGGACAAAAAGGATTTCTTGTTGTAACTCGAAGGAAAAGTGCGACAAATTCAGGCGGGGTACTACAAACTGAAATGTCTGAGTTCGAGCCTGAGGCTGCTTGAGGGCAACTCAGAGCATCATAAAATGTCAGGATACATATCCAGCCGACTATCATCCGAGTCACCGTAAGAGCAGCGGCAACTCAGCTGGACACCGCTTTTCTCATTCAACGCCGTAAACTGTCTTTGGACAATCTGCTTCATCACGTCGTCCGCAAGCCTACGGTACGAAAAGATAAGCTCGATCTCCAACTGACGGAATCGAGGAAAGCGGGGACCAGAAAGTAACGCGTCCAAAACCTTCCATAGGCTATGGGCACCGCAGTTATCGTTCGGATAGACGCGCAAGGTGAACTCCTCGAGTGCGAGCTGCTCGCCGAGAACACATCGTCTTATTCCCTGCTCGAATTCGTCTATGTCTGTATAACGAAAGTTTGGCGGTAGGAAGGTTGTGATAGAAAGATGCGGGAGATTAAAGAGGTTGAAATCGAGGATATCAAGGATATCACAAAAGTTAACTGTACGCAATGTCTTGTCAGCGCGTCGAAGAGAGGGCAGATATATGGAACATACTCTGGGTATTGTAAATTAGGTGGAGGCTAGCAAGTGTTTCGAGGGAGCCACTCAGGATCGTCTTCGCTCTCACGATGTCATCTCTGTCCCATAAACTAAGGGCGCACTGTCGCAAACAGAGGGAACACATAATATCTTCTTGCTCGACCAGCTCCCGAAAGGCGGCTATTTCCGTATAGTTGGTCGCGTGGAAATAAAATCTCTCCAAACGTCTAACGCTCTCGGCTCTCGACCCCAGAGCCATTTCTGGATTTGTTGTTTTATAACCCAATTTTTTAATCGCAAGCAAGCGAAGGTTAGGAAACGTAGCGAGGAGGTCGAAAAATGTCCCCGAGTGCTCGAATGTGACATTTGTGAAGTGGAGCGATATGATGTTGTCTGCATGATATTTGAGCGCGCTGAGAGCACCGTTTCCTGGAAATCCAGCAGACAGCTTGACGTGTCGCAGATTGTGCATGGCTGCGAGAAGAGTATATATGATATGATCTTCCTCGACATGATACCCATCTCCCGAACGCAATGCAACGGAGAGGATCATCGGCATGATTTCGGGAGACGGTTTGAAGATGCGATCGTGGAATGTAGCCCATGAGTGATGCCCACTGGAGGTCAAGGCGATGGAGGAAAAGAGGTGCTTTCTGCTCCGTGGCAAGAAAGAATGAGAGACGAGGGAGCAGCAAGATAGATCGTTATGGAGGTAGGGGGAGGGTGAACTATTCCGGATTTCATCAATGACGGCGTCGATGATTTCCTGAGGAAAATGTGCCATTAGGCAAGCCTTAAGATGCCTAGCGCCGGAATATGAAAATTTTGGGATGGCGCACTTAGTGAGGACTTGGACTGGGTTTACGGTCTTGACCTCGGTATTTAGAGGGGGATTTTGAATTAGTGACCAGCTTGGAAGGCTTATAAACGGTGAGCCAAGCACGTATGAACAAGGATGCCTACCTGCCAATGGCTCTCAGCGCGCCCATCTGAACCCCGGTGCCGGCAACGTGAAACATAGCAGAAAAGGGAGCAAAAAGGTATGCATCGGTACTGACCCGAATGGAAGGTTCAACGTAGTATGCATTAAGTACTTACCAATCAACGAAACTGTCGGAATTAGCTTGTTCAGTAGATGACAACCAAACAATATCGCTCTATGTATTTCATATAAATAAGGCAGGTATTATACTGATGATGAGCCTAGTAATCAGCTGAATGACACTAATCTGATTACCCGTCGGCGCGCGCCACCTAAACACAGGTTGGACGTCGGTCCAAAAATGACAACTCCAATTCGCAGTGGACCCCTCGCCGGATAAGAGCGCCCTTCAGCCCGTGCCGGAACTTTAACCCTGCAAGACCGCCCTTCATACGGATCAGAGGGAGACCTTGGATATTAAGATTGTCACAAGTGAAAGTGACTTCCTTCAACGGCCGGTCCTCCATCTCAGTACAACGCGACTCCAGCATATCAAACAAAGCATCGAGGTTCGTGTCGTTATAAACGTCCATCGAGAAGGTGGTCAACGAAGGGAGCAGGAGAGGGCGACCCTCTTTAACGGTGAGTTTCTCAAGAATGATATGGCTGTCAACGCTTGCGGAATCAACGGTACACTCATGAGTCCAGGACAAGAAGAGCTCCTTCAGAGTAGGGACGGCCTCGAGAACCTGAATCATACGTGCGTCTAGAAGGACAGGATCGCGAATACACAATATTTCCAAGGGACATTGCGACCGACGAAGGAATTCGGCGACTAATCGAAAGCTGGTCGTTGTGATAACAAGAGCGCGAAGTAGAGGCAACGACAAATACTTGAGCAAGTTGACGCTCCTGTAATAAAGTTCCAAACGTTGGATATGCGTGAATACCATGGTTTCGTCTGGGAGGAAACGGCTCCGGATCCTGATGTCCAAAGATAAAGCTTCGAGATTGGGCGCGGATCGTAGCAGGCGGAAAACATCGCTATCAATGCCGGAACCCCCGAGGTGGTACATCCGGAGGTTAGGTCGCTGGATGTCCTGGTCCACAGGACCATCCCAAACTTCCGTCGTGAGGGCAACTTGTCGACAATAAGCCTCGATCCCCCCTGGAGGGGTGCTTTTACGTCTGGCAAGCTCCACGTTCCACATGAAGATATCCCATCGGTGGCTCTCAGCAACAAGCATCCTCATCATATTGTCATATTCCGGTATAATAGCTTCACCCTCGATATTGCCTATAACCCGAAGGCTCTTGTTCCCCGAACGTTCCAGCCAGAGCTTCAAAACGTGAAGCCGGTCACGGCACTTGGTCGCAGTCACTTCATCGATGGTGAGGTCCGACCAAATCTGAGGTAGAGACAGAGATATGATGCGCCACATGTAGGAGACACGACTATGACTCCAAGGACCCTGGCATGTATTGTGAACAATTGGATACTCTTCAAGTTGTTGCCATGCCGGGCGAGTGTGAAGGAGAATTTCGGCAATGATCTCTGCAGGAAGGCGGCGAATGACCGACGTGATAGATCGGTGGCACTCGATGAACTCCAGTAGTTCACGGATTTCGGAGTACTCTTCTTCTTCCGGTGTAGCCACCTCATGGATACTCTTCGGCCTCACGAGCATCTCCAAGTCCTCATCATCCACTTCTAACTCTTGTTTGAATGCCTCCAAAGACTCCAGGGCGTCTGCTAAAACCCGACGGATTTCGATGAGTTGGCATTCGTCAGGGGCGTCGTTCGACGATGCAAGGTGCCTATAGGTCTTGGAGAAATTGCGACGTTGAACGGTAGATGACATGGTGGTAAAAGAGTGAGAA